ATCAATCAATCAATCAATCAATCAATCAATCAATCAATCATCAATCATTTAGTCAATCAATCAATCAATCAATCAATCAATCATCAACCAATCAATCAATCAACCAATCAATCAATCAATCAATCAATCAATCAATCAATCAACGAATATTTTTTTTCTATTTTTTTAATTAATTTTCTCACTCATCAAAAATCACCCCCCCCCTCCAAAAAAAAAAGAATATTTTTAAAAGCGCAGTACTCTAGAGGAGGACGTGCGCAGGACGAGGCTGCGCACCGATTTCTCGCGCGCGCCCCCACTGGGCCGTGGTGCGGCCGCGCGGGAACTCGGCCGGCGTGGCGTAGGCTGCACGGCACGGACTGGGCCGCAGGATCCGCGGCCCAGGGTGCCACGTAGGTCGCACAGGTCCGGGTAATCAGCAATGCCGCATACCATTCCGACAAATAGCAATCAACTTATGGTCAGTTGTGATCGCACTGGCTCAAAGTGTTCGTAGTTAAAGTGCACGTGGGCACCCTCGCTCTTGGTCAGCAATGCCCTCAGTTGAAGTGTGCACGGGCGCACTAATTCAGAATCAGTAATGTCCACGCATAAAGTGAGTGTGGGTGCACAGGCTCAGAATTGGCAGAATCTACAGTGGAATGCGCATAGGCGCACAGCCTCAAAATTGACAGAATCCACAGTGGAATGCACATGGACGCACAGTCTCAAAATTGGCAGAATCCACAGTGGAATGCACATAGGCGCAAAGTCTCGAAAATTGGCGAAGTCCACGGCAGAGTGCGCATGGGCGCACAAATTTGAAATTGGCAATGTCAACAGTGGTGCACATGGGCGCACAATCTTAAAATCGGCAATGTCCGCTGCAGAGCACGCATAGGCGCACGATTCCAAAATCGACAATGTCAACAGCAGTGCGCATTGGCGCACGGTCTTAAAATCGGCAATGTCCGCTGGGCGCACAAAACCAAAATCGACAATGTCAACAGCAGTGCGCATGGGTGCATGGACCTGAAATTGGCAATATCCTCAGCCGAGTGCGCATGGGCACACAAATCTGAATTTGGTAATATCAACAGCCAGGTGCGCATGGGCGCACAAATCTGAATGCAGTGTGCGTGAACACAGTTTCTGGTTCCGCAATGACCCTCGAATACAATGCGTGTGAACGCACAGTTTCCTGGTTTAGAAATGACCCTCAGATGCAGTGTGCGTGAACGCACATCAATGGAAAGTACCATACTTGCGGCGCATGTATGCGCTATGCCATGCGCTACGCATGCGCGCGGGGCAGATGCGTGCGCATCTCGCTCATCGCGCATTTGTATGCGCCATGCGCACTTCCGCATGCGCCGTGCGCTGGTGCGCGCGCAACTGCGGCCTGTTCCCCTGTGTGGTGCGCAGATGCGCCGCATTATTTATTTATTATTATTATTTTTTTATGTGCTCCCCATGCTGCGTTGCGAGTTGCGTAAGCAAAACAGTGCCCTTCTGTGCTCCCACCGACGATTTGAGCAGAAAGCAGGGCTTCCATCTCTCTCTCTCTCTCTCTCTCACACACACACACACACACACACACACACACACACACACACACACACACACACACACACTCATACACAAGCAAACAAACTTTAACAAAGCAAACATACTCACAATTTCAAACAGGCAAACGGAGGGACGAAATGCGGAATGAAGAGGTTGGCAATACGTACCTGCAAGTGGTATGAACAAGCAGGTGGATACACAGTGCGAACAACAACAGACGCAGGGCAAATAACAGGCACACACGACACATTGAAGCACACCATCATGAGATCACCAATCACGATCCCGTAAAACGCAGACGACATGTGCAAGTAAACAACACAAAAAACAAGTTTGAAAAACCTTTCCAAAGTTCACAGCGTCGGAAATGCGATGTTTGCAAAGTTAAGAAAGTTAAAAGTTCTGGAATTGAAAACTAAACTACCCACTTTCAAAGTTTGCAGGAGTGAGCTCTGATGCTCTCTCCTACTCCTCCCTGCCGTCTCCTTCCTCTTCCTCCCCGGATTGCCCCTCGCTACCCTCTGAACTATCACCCGTGCCGTCCCCGTCTCCTTCGCCGTGTTCCATGGACTCCGCCCCACTCCCACTTGCATCCTCATCGTCCGACGAGGAAGATGAGGATGCTGACGACGGTGCTGCTGCCGCCTCGTCGCTTGCTGCTGCTGCCTCATTGTCATCTGCTGCCGCCGCATCATGGCCGCTTTCGTCATCGTCGATGACATTGCTCCGCGCCTTTTTCTTCCTTCCTTTTCTGGCTGCCGCACTTCTCACTGCTGCTGCTGCTGCAGCTGCCTTTGCAGCGATTGCTTCCGCTTTCTGGGCTTTTCTTTCTGCCATCTCCGCGTTTGAGGGTCGGCCCCTCTTGCGTTTCGGCTCTCCGTCCGCACGTCTCCCCTTTGCCACCGGAACCACCTCCTCCACTTCCTCGCGTTGCGCTCTCTTTTTTCCATGTTTTCTGTTGCCGGACGCTTCCCCTGCACCGTGCAACCATGTTCCGGCAGCCCGTGCCTTCAACAACTGCGCCCGTTCCTCTTCCGTGTACAACAACGACGGTAAGGGCTGCGAATTGCCTGATTTCCTCCGCAGCTCGCGTTCCCTGTAGCGGCCGGGTTTTGTGCACTCGTGCCAGTCCTTTTCCCTCGAGCCCACGAGGGCTATGTCCTCCGTCTCACACTCTTGGTCATCCCACTCGCCATTTCGCAGCCAAGTTCGCATGAGTGGCTCGTCCCCATCCTCCTCTCCCACCTCCGCGTCATCGAGCGTGTCTGCTGCGTCATTGTCATTGGACACCGCCGTCGCCACCCACGTGTTGTACCACTCCTCAACTTTCGCCTGCACCGGTGGGTCATCCTCCCAAGGGATGTGGACCTCCTCCTTACCGCCGCGGATGTAACTCCGGATCAATTGGGTGTTCCAGTTGTTGAACACCAGTTTTGACAGTCTCTCCGGCATGAGCTTCATGCGCCGTCTTCCAAAAACGAGCTCATGCAAGCTCCAATTACACTCACATGCAGCGGATGAGCTTGCTTGGCCAAGCAATTTGACGGCTTTCGGCTGCAGAAGGTCCAACTTTCCCCCAAATGCTTCCCACCACAAGGCCGCTGGTTTCACACGCGCCGCCTCCGCTGCCTCTCGTGTGTTGAATGACCCACGCAGTTTGGTCCAGTCATCAACTTGCCGGCTCAGTTCGTCGAGGGTGGGTTTATCTTTCGGCACTCACGAGTACAACCAAATGTTGAACCCCGCGCGAACCTCCTGATCCCGCTCTGCCAATGCACTGTGCCGGAACTCCGGGTCAAGGAAGGCAGCCGCGCAGTGCAGCTCACTCGTCATGAACGACCACCGATGCATTAGAATGTCCTCGATGTCGGCCTTCTCACCCGGGGTGACACACTCGAGGCCGCGCATTCTCTCGAAGAGCGCATCCATCTTGAAGTAGACCTTCGACATTGTTGCACCAGGCGCAACAGCTCCACAACAGGAGACATCACTGCGAGGGCCTTCTCCACCTTGTCCCAAAACCCGTCCCTTCCCAGCACAATGGAGGTGACCTCACAGAAAGCGGCGAGCTGATCCGCCCTCACCATCTTGTCCACCCACGCTGTGTCGCAGACGCACTTCTCGAGTGCATTCCTCCCTCTCTTCAACGAAGCCAGCCTGTCGTGACTCGTGGCAAATCGCGTGACCGCCGGACGCTTCAACTTCAAATTCGGCGAGAATTTGTCGAACATAGCCCTCGCCTTGTCCACGTTCGTGAAGAATTTGCCGACTACATTGCCGGCGTCGACGACCACGGCCAGCCAACCGAGCTGCTTGTACATGTCCTCGAGTGCTAAATCGAGGGCATGCGCTGTGCAGCCGACACGAAAAATCTGAGGGTAAGCGGCCTCCACCATCTTACCCGCCTTCACACACACTCTTGCGTTGTCCATGACAACGCCAACCACTGCGTTTGACCCGATCTCCTTGATCACTCCATCAAGGATCTTGAAATACGCCGCCGAGTCTTTGTCTTTCCCCTCCATGCACACTGATTTCCAAAAGACAGTCCCGATCGGGGACGACACCATCACATTCAGATGGGGGCGGTTGCGTCTATCAGACCAACCGTCCATCTGAAGCATGCAGCCCTTGACCTGCCACTTCATGGTCATGGCGGTCACGTCTGCTCTCGTCCTTCCAAACGTGCTGTCCAGCCTCCTCGTCCGTGCGTCATCCCTGTGGTATGGCAGCCATGATGGATGTGCCTTCTTGACAGCGTCGATGAACTCGAGGAAGTACTCGTTGTCAACGAGATTGAAGGGTTGGTTCATGCAGAACAGGAAGTTATCGAGGAAGAGGCTCGTGTGTTCATTACGAGTAATGATGCTGTCCGCATCCTCGATAAGCGTCTGCCTCATTGGTCGACCTGTTTGGGGCGCTGCACGGCCGCACTCCCCAAAAGTCGCCACCCGCAATGGTACACTGCCAGCATCAGCCGCTCCACTACATGCACCCATCGCTCCGGTGACTAGACTGCTGGCAGATGGCAGGTTGCTCGTCGGCGTAGAACTCTTCTCCCCCCTGTCAATGAGCTCTGCGAGGGCCTTCCCCATGCGAATCCCCTCCGCCCTTCTCGCCCTCTCCTCCACGGACAACRGTCTAGTCAGGAGGTCCAGGCTGCACTTCTTCAGGAAGTGGGTTCTCAGATGCGACGCCGTCCCGTCGAATCGGGTCTCGCAGTACTTGCAAATCCAATGCTTGGACCCTTTTCC